CTAACACCGGATGAATTTAATCTGGGCGACTTAACACCGAACGATGTTAAATTGACGAAATAACACCAAATGAGTTTCAATTTGACGAATTTAAAATGGACGAGATTAATTATGATTTGAGGGAGTTTCTGTGGAACTCACGTCATCCTCACCCCCGGCGCGAAGAGCACGAGCCCAGAGCGGCCTCCGGCACCGTTTCTGGACGGATCCGCTGGATCCGCTGGATCCGCTGGATCCGCTGGATCCGGTGACGAATCCCAAACCGGCGCCCTCGCCTGAGACATCCTCACAAAACGGGCCCCGGGGGGGATGCCCAGAGGAGCCCAGAGCGGCCTCCGGCACCGTTTCCGGACGGATCCGCTGGATCCGCTGGATCCGCTGGATCCGGTGACGAATCCCAAACCGGCGCCCTCGCCTGAGACATCCTCACAAAACGGGCCCCGGGGGGGATGCCCAGAGGAGCCCAGAGCGGCCTCCGGCACCGTTTCCGGACGGATCCGCTGGATCCGCTGGATCCGCTGGATCCGGTGACGAATCCCAAACCGGCGCCCTCGCCTGAGACATCCTCACAAAACGGGCCCCGGGGGGGATGCCCAGAGGAGCCCAGAGCGGCCTCCGGCACCGTTTCCGGACGGATCCGCTGGATCCGCTGGATCCGCTGGATCCGCCGGTGACGAATCCCAAACCGGCGCCCTCGCCTGAGACATCCTCACAAAACGGGCCCCGGGGGGGATGCCCAGAGGAGCCCAGAGCGGCCTCCGGCACCGTTTCGGACGGATCCGCTGGATCCGCTGGATCCGCTGGATCCGCGGATCCGGTGACGAATCCCAAACCGGCGCCCTCGCCTGAGACATCCTCACAAAACGGGCCCCGGGGGGGATGCCCAGAGGAGCCCAGAGCGGCCTCCGGCACCGTTTCCGGACGGATCCGCTGGATCCGCTGGATCCGCTGGATCCGGTGACGAATCCCAAACCGGCGCCCTCGCCTGAGACATCCTCACAAAACGGGCCCCGGGGGGGATGCCCAGAGGAGCCCAGAGCGGCCTCCGGCACCGTTTCCGGACGGATCCGCTGGATCCGCTGGATCCGGTGACGAATCCCAAACCGGCGCCCTCGCCTGAGACATCCTCACAAAACGGGCCCCGGGGGGGATGCCCAGAGGAGCCCAGAGCGGCCTCCGGCACCGTTTCCGGACGGATCCGCTGGATCCGCTGGATCCGCTGGATCCGGTGACGAATCCCAAACCGGCGCCCTCGCCTGAGACATCCTCACAAAACGGGCCCCGGGGGGGATGCCCAGAGGAGCCCAGAGCGGCCTCCGGCACCGTTTCCGGACGGATCCGCTGGATCCGCTGGATCTCCGGTGACGAATCCCAAACCGGCGCCCTCGCCTGAGACATCCTCACAAAACGGGCCCCGGGGGGGATGCCCAGAGGAGCCCAGAGCGGCCTCCGGCACCGTTTCCGGACGGATCCGCTGGATCCGCTGGATCCGCTGGATCCGGTGACGAATCCCAAACCGGCGCCCTCGCCTGAGACATCCTCACAAAACGGGCCCCGGGGGGGATGCCCAGAGGAGCCCAGAGCGGCCTCCGGCACCGTTTCCGGACGGATCCGCTGGATCCGCTGGATCCGCTGGATCCGGTGACGAATCCCAAACCGGCGCCCTCGCCTGAGACATCCTCACAAAACGGGCCCCGGGGGGGATGCCCAGAGGAGCCCAGAGCGGCCTCCGGCACCGTTTCCGGACGGATCCGCTGGATCCGCTGGATCCGGTGACGAATCCCAAACCGGCGCCCTCGCCTGAGACATCCTCACAAAACGGGCCCGGGGGGGATGCCCAGAGGAGCCCAGAGCGGCCTCCGGCACCGTTTCCGGACGGACGACCTGACTGCATAACACGCCTGGATATGCCGACGGGGGCGAGGAGGAGGAGGAGGAGGAGGAGGAGGAGGAGGAGGAGGAGGAGGAGGGGGAGGGGGCAGGCGAGGGAGCCCCGGCCCTGGGGGAGGGGCCCTGAGGGAGCCCTGATGGGCTTCCGGCACCATGGAGAGGTCCTGTGGGGCGGCCGCCCCTTCTTCTCTCGGTCGTTTCCCTCTCGCCCAGAAGCGCGCGCCCCTTCTTCTATATATACAGAAACTCCCGATCAACCGCAGAGCGGCGGATGTTAGGTTAGAATGGATCAAATATTGACAACGCGAGCCACACAGAGGCACACAGAGGAAATTGAAGCCAGATGTATTTAAACCGGACGAATTGAAACCATATGCATTCAAACTGATGAAATTCGAACGGATGAAATTCAACTGATGAAATTTCACGGATGAAATGAAACGGATGAAGCAAAACGGATGAGATTACGTGGTTGAGATTACATTCGGATGAAACCAAGGTGAATCCAGGTGCTGTGGCCAGGTCGACGCATGACAAGCAACTGCCTGCCGACATTTTGACACCGCCGGTAAAGCACATAAACCCTTCGGAGGAACACGACCCTGGAAAACAGATCGCCTGTGAGTTGGGTGGAGGGGAGGGAGAAGGGGGAAGGGAGGGGACAAAACAGGCCCAGGCCCAAAGCGGGAGCAAGACAAGCAGCCACGGGGAACAAGCACGTCCCGTTTCGAGTCGCTAGCGTCATTCGATGGTCCATGCGACACAGGACCATCTTACTGCAGGTTTACCTCGTACGTAAGCCTCCGCGGTGTTTGGAGCCCCAGGAAGCCCTCGGTTCACGTTTGCAGCTCTCATGGGCCTCGGTGGGCAAGCACCCACCGACATCTCTGGTCGAAGACCAGGGCGGCCCTCGGTGCTCCTTGGTGGGTCTTGTGGGCTCTTGCCGCGAGCGTCGGTGGACAAACACAGCATCCAGCTGCCCGCGGCCAATTCCTCCACCGTGTCAGCGCAGCACTCTGAGTAGCGACGCGTCGGGCACCGCCTTGTGAGACACCTCTCGCCTCTGCTCTGTGATGGGCTGTGATGGGGCCCACCTGGGGCCGTCTTGGTGCCCCTGTCGAGGGCGTCGGTGGACAAGCGCACGTCACCAGGAGCTGCATCACGTGTCTTCCGGACAGCCCCCGTTCCCTCACACCGCTGGAGCGACGGGAGAGTTCCCCGGACCGCCGATCCCGCCACCGATGATGGAGGCATGCCGCTTCAACGATCGCGGTGGCGTGAGGGAGTAGGAAGAGGATGAGGGGGCAGCTGCAGCGGATCGAGGCAGCCAGTCCTCGGTCCTCGATCCCCGCTGCGACTGGGAGCTGGCCCCTTCCCTGCCCCGCCCGGCTCCGGCCCCGCCCCCTCCGGCGGAGCGCCGCTCTTGTCCGCTCTGCCGCTCCCCCCTCCCCACCCGGGGGCCGCACAGGGCTCCTCCACCCCAGACCCCCGACGTCATGATTTTTTCCTTACGTCGACCCCTGGAGGTCTCGACCCATTCCCCTGCACCGGTGTTTCCTCCTGAGTCGTTTTTTGACGGTCCCGAGGGCCGGCAAGGGTCCCCCGGGGCCGAAGATAGGAAGAAACCTTCCGTCATGATTGTTTCAGTACCCGAGGGAGTCTGGGACTGATCCGTGCGTCGACCTGGTCGACCTCAGACCTCACACGGGCCAGTTTCCCCGCGGCCTCGGGGCCCGGGGGCCCTCGAGGATCGATCCAGCTCGGGAGGTGCCTCGGAGAGCCGGGGGTGCAGGGTCGAGGGCTCGGGCTGCGATGCTGTGATTCACCACCCACCAAACCACCCCAACCCAACCCGGAGGCCTGAAATTTGCCTCCATTTCCAGTGGGGGGGGGGGGTCGGGGAACATCGAGAAAACACATATGGAAGCCGTACCCCCCCCCCAACCCGAGATTCGGGTCTTCGGGTTGGGTTGGGGTGGTCTGGTAGGTAGTCAGTGGTGGTGTGGTACTGTTTCGCAGCGTCGGGTCTCAGGGCAGCTTCCCAGGGGCGTCCAGAGGCTTCAGGAGGACCAGGAGAGGGACGAGCGCGTCCAAAAACCTCGAGCTTCAACCCTGGGGCACTCCTCTCTTTGCTGCCCATACCTTCAGAGCCTCGCATCTGCATAGTCGATGCTTGCACGAAGAGAAGTGCAGTACCATCGAGCTCTAAATGAAGCGAAGTGATCCCAGCTATGCTCCTGACAGAGGCTACCGAGTGATAGAAGGAATCGCTTGAGGGCAGGCTTGATGGTGTCCAGGACCACTCTCCTCGATATATTGGGACACGGACCGCACTCGACATCAGCGCCCATGAGCAATATTCTTTCACAGTTGAGCTGAAGATAGTGTTTGCTCTGGGCTTTCCCAAAGGGGCCATATTCATTTGCCCCTCAAAGAGCAAGTTGGCCTCCACGATGGTTGCACAATTCGCGGGACCTGGCACCTACAAAGGGGGATGTTCATTGTGAGGAAGGTTGTCGGTTTGACCGACCTGGCCCCAGAGCAAGACCGGTCAAAATTGTTGAATTCAGCATGTGGATCCGCATGGTGTTGCAAAGAACTCGCGAAGTGTTGAATATCAGGCAGCCCGCGGCAGCTGGCAGCCCACAATTTACACCAAAGTCGAGACGGTCTCGTCCGACTGGACATCCAGCGGCCTTCGAGTTGGTCGGTAAGGGTATCCCGAAAGCTTTGCGAGCCATCACGGCATCTTTTTCCGCTGCCTGCCCCGCGGTGCTTGCCGGGCAGCGCCACTGGGCTTGCCGGGAAAGACCGGTGCCTTGCCCGCAGTGGCCCCTGGGCGTTCCAGACCCAGACATGCGACGCCCTGATTCTTTCAGGGCGGCGTCCCTGGAAGTCCTGACCCTTTCCCCGGGACCGGTTTTTCGTCCTGACTGGTTGGTTGACGGTCCCGAGGCCCGGCGAGGGCCCACCGGGGCCGAAAAGAGCGACAACCTTCCCGTCCTGATTTCCGTGCGACGCGATCCTGCCTGGGGACAGGACTCCGCGGCCCTCGTTCTGCTCGGGCCGCTCTCTGCTCCGGCCAGCGCGCTCGCTGTGCAGGGCCGGCAGCCTGACCAGGCTGCCAGGCATCGGCCCACGCGGCCGGCCACGGCGGGTCGCGCGCTGGAGCCCCAGACCCCCCACGTCATGGTTTTTTCAGTACGTCGACCCGCTGGAGGGCTCGACTGAAGCGACGCGAAGATCGGGACAATCGGATCGGGATACTTCGAAGTCTCTGAGGATCGGCGGGTTTGGAGGATGTATTGGGCGCCGCGGCCACTCCAGAGCGTTCCGGAATGCTCTGAGAGCGCTCCGGAACGCTCTGGAGCGATTTATCCCGATCCTATAGCCATGTTTTATCGACTTAGTTTCCCGGACCGGCTCTTCATCGTGAGCCGTTTTCGGACGGTTTCGAGGGCCGGTCGGGGTCCCCAGAGGCCGAGAATAGCCAAAAACCTGTCCGTCATGATTTTTGTTCCTTGCCCGAGGAGGTCTGGGGCTCTGGAGGGGCCAATGGGCGCGGTGGGCGGCTGCTGCAGGCGGTGCCGGCGCAGGCAGGCACCGCTCCTCGGGAGGGTGGCGCCGCAGCCCTGCGCGGTGGTGCGGGTCGAGGCGCCTGCTGCTCGAGCTCACGGGCATGCGCCCGAGCCGACGTCGCTCCAGAAGAGGGCCAGCTTTTCCGCCCTGGAGGGGTCCAGGATTGGAGTGCGGGATCGTCTACAGAATTGGTTTACCCCAGAATTGAACTTCTCGTCGAGTCGTGCTTGTAGATCTACGAACGTTCTACGCATTTCTCGCGGGTTCGACGAGAGAATTGATTTGGGGGTACTCAATTCTGTAGTCGATCCCCCACTCGAAGGATGCTCTCGGAGCTTCCCGAGTTCCGGAGCGGCAGCAAGACTGGCTTCGTCGTGGACGGAAAGGGCATGATCGAAGACGAGTGGTGCATGAGCAAGAAGGCCATCGGGGAGGGTTCGTACGGGCAGGTTTTCAGGGCGTCGCACCGCAAGACCAGTGATGTCCGGGCGGTCAAGAAGGTTTCGAAGGACCAGTTGGAACTGGAGGAGATGCAGCGCCTGAGCGACGAGGTTGCGATCATGAAAGTGATGGACCATCCAGGGATCCTCAAGCTGTATGCGACCTTCGAGGACACCAGCAGTTTCTTCTTCGTCCTGGAATTATGCTCGGGCGGCGAGCTGTTCGACCGCCTGGAGGAGGAGACTTCGTTTACCGAGGACAAAGCCGCGGTCCTCATGGAGCAGGTCTTCCGGATCGTCTACTACTTGCACGAGAAAAGAGTTGCACACCGGGATATGAAGCCTGAGAATCCAGAGTCGTTTTCGCGCACTCCGCCAGCCCCACATCGTGCCATCGTTGGGAGCTGCCTGTGCCCTCGCGGGGATTGGACATTCGCTGGATGGCTTGACTCCTGCAGTCTTGAGCAGGGATTCCAGTGAGCGCGACACATGGAAAATTGCACCATATAGAAACTAAACGTTGCTTTGACGAAGCATGTAAAGTCATCGATCGAGGTGTTGGCGGGCACGAGCGCAAGATGACTATCGCCCTGCCTCTGACAGGGAGCTGCGAGATTGCCGCAAATCGAGGCTCCAAGAGAGGCCCAATACGACCCAACGACCTGTCTCACACACATTGCCCTTTTGTGTGACTAGTTGTTGGATCGCATTGGTGCCTCACTGGAGCTCCTTTGAGGCTTTAGTGGGCATGCCATCAGGGCCCCAAGACGGCCCACCAACTAGTCACGCACAAGCGCTCACATAGTCTCCCACGAGGGCTTTGAGAGTAGCTCATTTAGTCCCCACGTACATTCTACTGTATATCCTCGCCCCGATATTTGAAGACTCAGTACTCTACTCGCGACTATCTTGGCTGTGCCCGCTACTCTCTACTCTCGCCTCCTCACTTGATGGCCTCCTACTAAAAGCCTTCTGACATCTTCACTCTTCTAATGACTTGCTGCTCTGTCTGATATGTGCCCTATACTCTCTACTCGGTCTGCTCTCTTGAGGGATTGGCAGCCTGGCAGCCTCCTGCAAGCTGGAAGCATGGTAGCCCACGAAATCGGCAGCGCACTTTCCCCATCCGTCGACATCCGCGAGGACCCGTTCAATGTAAGCATTGATTGCGGAATCTCGCGAACCTGGGAACTTGGCCGCCCACCGAAATCGGTTCCGTGCCGTCGCCGAATCTTTAAAGTGCGAGCACTAATCGGGGCATGATTTCCTCTTTCTGCTCCCCCCCTCCATTATTCCTTCCTCCTTCGATCCCCCATCATCCCATCTTCCTTTTCGTGTACGCCGCTCACCAGAGCCTCTGTGACAGCATGCTCAAGTGGTGAGAGTTTTCCCAAACCGTCGTGTGAAGCTCGCGCAGTCGAGATGAGCAGTGACTTGGTAGACTGAGTTGGGCGATCGAGGTAACACGTCTCCACCCAGGTGTCGCCATCGACGCCAGCAAGCAAACACGAGTAGGATCTGCGGGGCCACGGGTGCTCGTCTAGGGCCCCTGTAGGAAGTCCCTGTGGCCCTGTTGACTTTCTCTTGGATCTCTCGTTTGCAGGATTGGCCCTGGGCGAGGTCATGGCTGAGACGCAATTCGCCCCTGACGCGGTGATCGCCCACAGCGCCTGGCGGTTATTTGGATGCGTCTGGGGGCTTTCTGGGAATCCTCTTGGGCCGTCTGCGGCGTTCCAGAAAGAGCATCGCATTTGAGGGGTGGAGAAATTGTCGTCCCCCAGCTCCGGCGGAAGGCCAGCGGAAACCAGTGAAAGTAAGAGTTGCGCCCCCAACGAAAGCATTGTTTGAAGCTTTAGGGTTTCCAGAACCTGCCAAGAATCTGCAGGGAATTGTGGGGCTTTCTGAGAGCCGTTGGGGCACATGTTTTTAGGCATTGTCGGGGCGTTGAAGGGCCCTCTCGGGGTTCTCTATTGGGCTATCTATCTTGGAGCTCTCTTGGGCCGTTATGGATTCATCCAGAGGCCCTCTTGAGCGGCCTTGGGGAGCTTGGGCCCCTTTGAGGTCCTACCTAGTAACTCTCGGGCAATCCCTTTGGGCCT